ATATAAGGGAATGGTCAGTGGAGTTGGGAAAAGAAGAATTTAAGCAAAAAAATGGGTCAGGGCATCTCCAGTTCTGTCCAAAAGGGAAGTTTCTTCACTAGACAACAGAAATATTTGGCCTCTTAGTAGTTTCATCCTGATTTTAACTCCTTCTTTGAAATTTTTACAATAATTCTCTATGATATAAAATTACACTGTTTAATATAGTAGCTACTAGTCACACATGGCTATTGAGCACTTGTAACGTGGCTAATCTAATTTAGAAATGCTGAAAGTATAAAATACGCACTGGATTTTGAAGTTTTGAAGATTTAATATAAAAAAAGATTGTAAAATAGCTCATTAATAACTGTTTAATATTAATTATACATTGAGAATCGATACTATTTTTGCTATACTGGATTAAATATATTAGTAAAATTAGTTTTACCTGTTTCTTTTTGCTTTTTTTAATGTAGCTACTAGAAAATGTAAAACTACATATGTGGCTTGCATTATATTTCCAATTGGGCAGGGCTGATATAGAACCTTTCAGTCTTTACCATTTACTTATCTCTGTGTTGAAGTATATTCCAATTATCTTCTAATGCGAAGTCTGGCCCTACCTACCTTAACTCCCTAAGTCTGCCCTTGCATAGACACGGGGTCATCATTTAAACGAGAAGGAGCCTCTGCTGGGCTGCTTAATTTTCATTCTGCTTCGTTAACTGTTTTAAAAATTTTGTACCTGAAAAAGCTTTAATATACTGTACCAGAAATACATATTCGTTATCAAAACATCAGAACATACTGATAGAAAAAGAACAAAATAAAATCACCCATAAATTCAGCACCCAGAGATAATTACTAAAGCTATTTTGGCATATACCCTTCCTGATTTTTTTCAATATACAAACACATATAGAGGCATAGACATATATATTTTAGCAAAAATAGGATCATACTGTATATATTGTTTTCTTACTTATTTTTTTACCCAATGAGATACAGAAACATTTTTCCATGCGAATAAATATATTTTCCCAACATCATTTTTCATGGCTTTACTCAAAAGCCACCGTAGCAATGAGGCCTTCCTTGACCACCTTATTTAAAATTGAAATCTATACATACACCTTCTCAATCCCCCTTCAACAAATTGTTTTTCTCCGTAGTGCTTATCTGTTGTTTGTTTACTTCTCTACCCCAGCGCCTAGAACTGTGCTTAAACACAGAAGATGCTGGAATATTTGCTGCATAAATGAATGATGTAATGAAGAACTACATAGTTTTCTGGCTGCTTTTTAAAATGTTAATTTGTTTATATCATGCCTATATCTGCATTTGGAGCCCCGGTGGTGCAGTGGTTAAGATCTCAGCTGATAACTAAAAGGTTAGCGGTTCGAATCCACCAGCCGCTCCTTGGAAACCCTACGGGGCAGTTCTACTCTGTCCTGTAGGGTCGCTATGAGTCAGAATCAATGGCAATGGGTTTTTTGGTTTTGTATCCGCATTTAAGGCAGCTGCTTTTAAATTTTTCGAAATATCTGCTCTTAAGTAAAAAAATGTCTACATCCATTTGCCAGAAATTGTAACTAAATGTTGTCCAATTTTTATCAAAAGTGCCATTTGGAGAAGTAACATTTTAGAACTGTCTGAAGGACACACAATCTATCTGTTCCTTAGATGGTCCAAAATTGAGGACTGTATTAAGCCAGACCATCATAGGGCAGCATATTTGGCTAAACTGTGATGAGCTTGATAGAATAAGCTTAAAACCTACTGAATTCCTATTTTGTGTTTCTAGAAGAAACAGTGGTACAAAACTCAACATCATATTTGCTGTAAAGTGTTGTAGAGGATGGTGTTCACTATATCACTCAGTGTCTTCTCAGAATAACCACAAAACTTTTTACTCCTCTTGAGTAACTGATAGGCTTTTGTAAATCCTAAGGGGAATGTGAACTTCATTGTATTTTCCAATTTGCTTTAGCTGCCAAGAAGCTCAGAGCTGAATTCACAGCCTTGCTTTAATATTCAGGAATACTGCTTATAGAATGCTTTTCTGTGCATTAATTTTCTTTTTTGTACCATAATACAATTTTCCCTTCATTTCTACTTTAAAAATCTGTATTTTCCTATTGTTTTGTCTTTTGTGTATTATAGTAAGATGTTGCAAATGTTTTTCAGAACTAGGCAAATATAAATCAATCAATCATTAAATCAGTCATACGCAGTGGAGATAAATGCACTAGCTTTCATAGCTTGATGACATCAACTATTAAGAGCATCTAATTCCTTTCCACCTAAAGTCCTGTTCACCAAGCTATTCTGTGTATTTTTCTATAAAGAGAGAATGGAAAGGCAACACTGGATTCTGCTTAGCAGTCATATTTCTCACTACAATTAACACATAAACTCAAATACCAGCTTATTGCACTGGATTATAGAAAGACTAAAAACCCCTGCTTGAGGTTTAAAATTAGGATCACTATTCCTGTCAGACATGATTTTGTTGTGATCCTAGACTAGAGGTGCAGAGGGATGGACTGAGTAATTCCTGGCAAGCCCATTCAATTTAGCAGTTTGCATTAATGTGGCTAAAGCCAAACATCTCAGGGGACCAGGAAAGGAAACAGGGACTCCATTTTTGCCAGGCCTATTTTAAATCTGAGGTAGGCAGCAGGGTATCCAGGGAGAGATGCTCATTATCACACACTTCTGATTAGAGGCTGAACCACAGTTCAGGACTTGACTACTATCACACAAAGGTTTTTGGCAGGTTTTCTTTTTTCTTGTGGCAGTCCCAAAGTACCAACATACACACACCCTCTTAGTAAGGCTTGAGTTGACATAGATGGAGTTCTTGGTTTTGGGCATCTGACTGGGGAAGGGAGTTACTGGAGGGAGGCTATGTTTTTTTTTTTTTTTATCTCAACACTTTCCCAAATGTCTATTACTCTAATTCTTGTCCTTAACAAGGTCATGAAGAGATGACTGGATGAACGAATGTCCTGATCCCAGGCTATACAGTGTAGAAGTCACAAACCCTGCTCAGTCCTTCTCATTAAACTTCTGGGCTTTATTTATTTTTTTAATACGACCATTACATATTACACAAAAATAAAAGTCAAACGAACTTGGTATTTATAAATTATTAAATAAAAATACAGGAATATATATTTATATTTATAGAGCTTTTTTCTTTTCTTCTAAACTAACCAAATCTGTTCTTCCGCCATTTTATGATTTAAAAAAGTAAATAGTATATGCCCTAAAATAAGTGGGGAGTGGGATTAATAACCACAGGACCTAGTTGCCCTATTTCCGCTCCTTCCTTGGCCAAAGCAAAGTCCCTATTTGTCCCTTTGGGCTCTGGAGAGCAAGAAACACCCTCTCCACCTATTTAATCTTTGAAAAATGGCAATTACATTATTTCCTTTATTTTTTAAAAAAATGACATGGATTTAAAAACTGGGAGCCATACTCAGCCTTCTTGGCCAAGAGCTAATCCCAAGGAACTATATGGCTCTAGAAGAGTCCCTAGTTTTCCCTGACATAAGGGTCTCTGGGGTTTCCATTGCCCTTCAAGCTAAGAAGGGCAGGACAGGTCAAAACTGTCCACTGTGGTCCCATCCAAGCTATGTTTTTAGGAATCCAGACCAAGCCCTTTACCCTTTTCAGAAAATAGCTCCTCCTTCCACCCAGGAGTGAAGGCCCAGAACAGGGCATTTGGGTAACTTGACCATGTTCCCTGCTGCCCCTGTTGCTAAAGGCCCACAGGAGAGCTAACAGGGATAGGCATCCTGTGGTAGAGGGTGGGATGAAGAGTCTGCCCCAAACCTGGGGGTGCACAGGCTCCAATTTTGAATTGATGGTCTAGTCAGTGGTTTTCCAACTTTTTTCAGCAGCAAACCCCTTAATTCAAATAAAATCTTACCCTGAACCCGATATGTAAGACAATTATAAAGGGAGCTGTTCTGTTTGAGGGCAAGTAGCCCAGCCTGCTCAGCCCCCACTCCATCTCCCCAAGGACTCCTGAAGAAACCCCTAGGAAACTTTGGAGCTCTGCCAAGCAGTTTGAAAACCACTGGCCTAGTCTGTCCTGAGCAAGTCAGAGACCCGCCACCCCAACTGCCTGCCACAGACCAGCTCTGAGTTTCTGGTATCAGCATACTCACGACAGACCAAGTGGCACATGCAGTCTCCCACCTCCCCTATAAATACCATTAAAAAGTGCAGCTCTCTCTCAAAAGCAGAAGTCTGGACTAAACACCTAAGGCCAATTTTGGTCCCACAGTCTAGCAAGCACAACCATGCTGCCACATTCTGGGACCAAGTGAAAATCTCCTCCAAGAAGAGCCAACCATGTTATGTTCTAGCTAAACTGATCAGTGCTTGGGGTCAAAGGGCAGGGTTCTAGAGCACTGTGCCTCTGAAGTTAGCATTGGAGAGCAGCAATTTTAGCACCTTGGAAAGTGCAGCAGTGAGGTTTGGCTCAGAGCATGCATCTGCAGTGAATAATTTCTTCTTCAAAAGAAAAGGCTATAATCTGAATCTGTTCTATAGGACTGTGAGCTCTGAAATTAGCATCCCCAGACTGTGATGTACAGACAAGTAACACTCATGCACATAGCGTGGCTTCAAAGAAAATATAAATGCTTCTAGGTCATGGTAGGTACTCTAGAACCTATACACCTGGCCTCTGATAAAGCAGGACCAAAACTCACTGCACAGAATAGGCTGGTCACAGAGTACACATTAGCCTCACACCCACAGGGATCAGAGCTGGGAATGTTCCTCTCAAGGCATTAACTCTCAGTCTTACTGAGATAGTACAGGACCCACACTGTATTCTAGATCAGCATTTATGTCCACACACTCAAAGGGAAAATTAGTTGGACACCCAATTTAGTGTTTAAGTTTAGGTATAGAGGTCCCAGAGATAGGGAACCCTTCTTGGCACCATTGTGCCTCAGTGAGAGAGGAGGGTAGCAGGCAGGTCCAGCTCCTGAAGCCTCCACCCACCTAAGCTCCGCAGCCTTGCCTTTCTGTTGGAGCCCAGGAGGCAGCAGCAAGAGCACGATGCACAGAAAGGGGGTGAGGAAGCAACAAGGCCAGCTGCAGAACTGCTCTTTTCTCCAAAGCCCTGCTAACTACTTTCTACAGAGAAGTGCCCAAAGGCCTGTCTGGATACAGTGTTTCTCCTCAGCCTTGAGGCATCAGGACAAGGGGAGAGGAAGGAGGGGGCTGGGAGCAGGGGCAGAGAACTGCCCCTTGTTCTTACCACTGCAAGAGGGAATGTTTTCTCCTCCAAGAATCCCACCACCACCAGATTAGACAAGCAGCCCAGCATGCACACGAGCACACGTGCACATGCACTCACGTGTCCAAGCAGCCCGCTCACACAGCCACTTCTCCCTAACACCTGAGAACCCCGAGCTTCCATTCAAAGGGATGTGCCCTGTGTTCTCCCCAAATCCTACTCATCCCTTATGCAAGCTCCCCTTCCTCAGGGCTGTAAATCAAGCTCCAGGTACAATGTTGTGTGCCCACACCCACAGATAGGCATGATCCCTCCCACCTGCCCCCATCCCTGGAATGACGCCACCTCCTGGCCCCCTGATCTTTCCAATTACATTCCCTAATGTTTCCAGCTCACCCTTCCATCCCCCTGTGTGACACACTCAGCTCCCTCACACCCTGCCCTTCCCTTGCTCGCTCCATTACTTGCCCATCCATTCACCCCACTTCTTCCAAGTGCATTTCTCTGTTTTCTTCCTGCTCTCCGGTTCCCCAGCCACACCTAGTCCCACCTGGCCCTGGACTCTCTCACTTGCTAGCAAAAAAGGCCCCTACAGTTACCAGGGCCCCCAGTGCCACGGCCCCCGTCAGCACTGTCCTCACTGATGCCCAGTTCCCCTCCCGCAGACGCCGCGCCTCCTCCAGGGCCCCGTCCCCGTATAGAGCTGTGAACTCCGCCTGTGGGAGAGAAGGGAAGTAGGGGAGAAAGAAGGAGAAAGGAATATCAGGAGAGGAAAGAGTGGAGAAAAGAGGAGAGGAAGAGTTCCAGTTCCATCCACTGTGAACACTACCCCACACCCAGCTCCTCCCTGGCCAAAGCACTACTGTCTGCAAGCCCCCTGAGAGCCCCACATGCGCTCCCCCATGAGCGCCTGGCTCATTTGCCCTCTCTGCCTCAAGTGAACCCTATCCTTTCTTAGCCAAAAATTCTGCTCAGAACTGGCATCCTTCACCAAGTCTTGCCTGACTGCCACCCCCAACCCCCAGGCCCTGTACTCAGTTGTATAAAGTTCCTAACAGCTGGATAACCTTGCCTGACATCATTTCCCTGCAGGCACTCCTTGGGTGCTAGTATTGTTTTCTGCTTTGGATCATGAGCCCATCCAGTGATTACTGCATGGCAGCCCTAGAGTGCAGAGTCTGGTGCAATGCCTACAGTGAGGGCATCTCTCAATCTGATTCTATCCAAGTGGGAAGACTCGGCCCCCACACCTCACTTCCAGCGTGGCTGCCCCCAGCCCCAATCAGAGTCCCCACCTTCCCCTGGAGACAAGCTTTGCAGAGGTATGTGCAGAGCAACAACCAAGAAGCTTCTTACCCAGCCCCCACTGCTGTGGATCCAGTCAGCCAGCCGCGTCTCCAGGTAGACCACCATCCATTCCTGCACTTGTCCCACCAGTGACTCCATCTCCTTGTTGACACTCTCAGCACACAGTGCGGCCCCAAAGACAAAGAAGGCCACAAGGCGGCCCCAGTTGGGGCCCCCTTGGAAGAGTTCATCAGAGACCTGGGTGAAGCGTTGCTGGGCTGAGCCAGGGGTCACATGCAGCTGGGCTGCCAGATCAGAGAAGGTGCGCCGGAAGCGGGTCTCGAACTCATCTCCAGCTGCCCGCATGGCTTGGTGCAGTGGGTCAGCTGCTGCACCCTCCCCGGGGCCAGCTCCACATACATAACCCTTCTGCCTCAGCTTGTAGCCCACAAAGTCTGCCACCAGAGCCCGTGTGTCTGGGGCTGAGGCTGGGGTCGCCATGCGGGCAGCTGCAAGAGTCAGGGATGAAAGACTGGCATGAATATATGGACAGAGACCACGAAGGGGCATTTCAGGTTTGGCCAACCCAGAGGGACGGGGTGGTGGTAGGAGGGAGTGCTCAGAGACCACTAGGCAGGGAGTGGCAAGAACCAGGGAATTAAGTAATGGTGTGAGCCAGGGCATGAGGGTCATATTATGCCAAATTAAATGTAAAATAAGTAAATTTTATCTTTTTAATACTTTAGATTCTTTCCGTAATAAGACAACACTAGCTCCATGACACTCCTAATGCACACCTTTTTGGCTAGAGGAAGGGGCTTAGGACCTCCCCAGAGGCAAGACTGTGAAGATGGTGGCAAAGGCGCAAGATAGGGGAGGAGACAAGGGCTGAAGAAAAAGGTGGAAGAAGCAAAGCAGTGCCTGGGACAGAGAAAAGAAGGGGACACTCACCCAGCCTGGATGGCAGCTCTTAGGACCCAGCACTGGTGGCAAACAGCCTCCAGCTGGGGCCTTTCATCCTCCCGGCCACCAGCGTGGAGCCCTGGGAAGGGGAGGGGGAGATCAGAGCTAGGCGGGGAAGGCCAGGGAGCAGGGTCTGGCCTGAGAAGGGCTGGGGTTGCAGCTCCTGGGACCCAGCCCCTGCTCCCTACGTTCTACCAGCTGTGTGGCTGAATCCATGTTTAATGACTGTCCTCCCGGAAACCCAGGGCCAAGGGTTTCCTGCCGACACCCTCTCTACTCCCAGCTCCCACCAGTGCAGCCCAAAGGCCCAGCTCCTCCCTTACCCCCACCCTCAGCCTGTCTCCAACCCCGCCTGTCTGCCAGGTTAGGGATCTCACGGGTCAGGCAGCAGCCGGGATCCCGGCCGTTTCCTGATGCAGGAGCTGGGAGGGAGGGAGAGAAGGAGGAAGGGAGGGAAGGAAGGAAAGGGGGGGGCAGGAGGGAGGGCCTGGCGCCGGGTGATGATGGGGCCCAGAGATGCGTCCAGAGAGAGGGGCGGGGCTGGGACGCAGGCCTGGGAAGGGCTACAACTCGGGAAGAGAAGGCAGCTGAAGGTAAGGGAGAGCAGTGCCAGGACACTGTGGGCCAGGCTGGGCTCCTGAGTCTCAAGCCTGCCCAGAGAGGCGCGCTGGACCTTGGGAAATCTCAGAGCAAATACAACATTTCCAGAACGTTTCTGATGTTTCATGTACTTGTTGAAATTTTCCAGTCCTGGAGTGGGTGCCTAGAAAGGAGAAGCAGTTCCCTTTACCCTGTGAACCACAGGCCAGGTACCTTGCCCTTACAGAACTAATAGATTTAGTCACCAAACCTTTCCCATCCTCTTTTCCCCAAAGACTTTAAACCAGTGATTTCGTGGGCTGGGGCTTGGGCCAGGCATCAGGAAGCCAGGACTTGGATCACAAGCAGTTCATGCAGGTAACTTTCCTTCATCTTCGTTTTTTAGTAATCAGATGATTTTTTTTTACCCAACACATGAACTCCTTCTCATTATGGAAAAGGGCAAACAATATAGAAGTACAGAGTAAAAGTACAACTCCTCAACTCACTCCCTTCTCACCCACCCACCTCACAGCTACAATTCCACCTCCCTTCCTGGAGATTGCCAGTGTTAAGGTTGATGTTTATCCTTTTGGGTTTTACATATATAAAATGTGTTTATATATGTGTGTGTATACGTATATATGGAGCCCTTGTGTCACAGTAAAAACCCGTTGTCGTCAAGTCGATTCCAACTCATAGCAACCGTATAGGATAGAGCAGAACTTCCCCGTAGGCCTTCCAAGGAGTGGCTGATGGATTCGAACTGCTGATCTTTTGGTTAGCAGCTGTCTTAGTCATCTAGTGCTGCTATAACAGAAATACCACAAGTGGATGGCTTTAACAAAAAGAAGTTTATTTCCTCACAGTCCAGTAGGCTACAAGTCCAAACTCAGGGCATCAGCTCCAGGGGAATGCTTTCTCTGTCGGCTCTGCAGGAAGGTCCATGTCATCAATCTTCCCTTGGTCTGGGAGCTTCTCTGCACAGGAACCTCAGGTCCAAAGGACGTGCTCTGCTCCCGGCACTGCTTTCTTGGTGGTATGAGGTTCCCCTGTGTCTCTGCTTGCTTCTCTTATATCTCAAAAGAGATTGGCTTAAGTCACTATCTAATCTTGTAGACCTCATCAGTATAACTGCCACTAATCCATCTTATTACATCATAGTGATCAAGTTTACAACACATAAGAAATCACATCAGATTACAAAATGATACACAATCATACAATGCTGGGAATCATGACCCAGCCAAGTTGACAGATATTTTGCGGGGACACAATTCAATCCATGACAGCAGCCAAACTTTTAACCACTGCACCACCAGGGCTGGCAATTCGAATCCACCAGCCACTCCTTAGAAACCCTATGGGGCAGTCTACTCTGTCCTAAAGGGTTGCTATGAGTTGAAATCGATAGCAACAGGTTTGGTTTTTGGTTTTGCTGGCACAGCGGTTAAGAGCTACGGCTGCTAACCAAAAGGGTCGGCAGTTTGAATCTACCAGCCGCTCCTTGGAAACCCTATGGAGCAGTTCTACTCTGTCCTACAGGGTTGCTGAGACATAATCAACTCGACAGCAACAAGTTTGGTTTTTGGTTTGGTATACACATATACACCTATTCCTCACTTACTGACATGGTTAGGTTCCAAAGACCAGGTCATTATGTGAAAACTGGCATTATGCAAAAATGGAAGATGACTACATTATCGCATAACTGCCAAATTACATCATTACATAACTGCCAAACCACTAAGAATCATTGCCCAGCCAAGTTGATACATAATCTTAACCATCACAGCCAGTGTTACTCTTGCCTCACATCGCAGTGTTTGTTACTGCCAGATATACATCATTAATGTGCAAAATAGTCAGATAGTAGATTTTTTACTATTGTCATAAATGCAAAATGTCAGATAATGAGACAGTGGACAAGTGAGGAGTAGGTGTATACACATATATACAGGCAGTTCCTGGATTACGAACGAGTTCCCTTCCTATTTGTACATAAATCAGAACAGTTAGGTACAGTTCGTATCCAACATTAATCAAATGTTTGTCTTAGTATATAGTATATAGTGTACCTTTCTATGCATAAAAAACATTAAACATATCCAGACACACTAAAACATCTTTAACATAATACAGTAATAGTAGTAATAATAGTTTTGAAGCATGTCACAAAGTAGCACCCATTTGTTATTATGAACCATTGTATGCACCTCAAATTTTTAATAAAATAGACTTCACGAGGGCTGGTTTGTAACGACGAGTTGTATGTAATATGTAAATTCTAAGTAGGACATTCATAACCCAAGGACTGCCTGTATATGTATGCACAAATATATAGATTTTTATTACATAAACTAAATCATATGGTAAATAGTGTTCCCATGATACTGGAGATCTACCCAAATTATTTTTTAATGTCTCAGCACCACCTCCACCCCCACCCAGAGCTCCAGAGGAATTTCTCATCCAGAGATTGTGTTTCCTGTGTGTATCTCTCTCCTACACATGGCCACTGCAGTGCTACCTGCTTTCCTACAGCCAAGGAGCACAGGGCAGTTCATGGGGTGTGAGGCACTCTCTGGCCACAGCTGGTCCACATGAGGACACTCGGACATTTTGCCTGGCCCCTCCTTATGAGGGGGTACAGCTAGTTTCACAGAGGCCTCAATCATCACGTAGGCTGTTACAGCCGTCACTTCCTTTGGCCCCATTTGGAAGGAATCCCAACCAAAGGCCAGAAAAATGCAACCCAATTCTCCTCCTTTCCTGCTGGTTCCCTTTGCTTCTACCTACAGCCCAAGCCTCAGAATTCCCATCTGTCTTTATGGTCACCAGGGAAAATAGGTCTTTTCTGTGACAATAAAAGTAACAACTAACACATTTTGAGGACTTATTAGGTGCTAAATGCTTTCTTTATATGAATAATATTTTAACCTCACACCAATCTCTAAACTTCCTCCCTCCCCCCATCCTATGGATAAGGAAGTGGAAGCTTGGAGTGGCTAAGCAATTTGTCCAAAGCCACATACCGATAAGTGGAGAAGCTGGGTCTCAACCTATTTCTGTCTGATCTGAAAGCTTATGGTCTTAAGTTTGACACTGTATTGCTTCAAGTTCACATCTTATCTTTAGGTAATCAGTGTTGTTCTCACAGTCTGAATTCACACCATTTATAGGTCCAAACTCAGTTCCCTCTCTCTTCTGAGTGTACAGCCTGTTTGCTCCTTTATAGCTGTCTCTCTTTAGCCAACCTCATTTCTTCTTTGCTCTTGGGCTGATCATTCCAGCTACCATCAGCAAAGTTGTTCCCTTTTTCAGAGAATAATGTAGTCTAGGCCTTCATTTGGAATGGCCATATAGTTTCGTCTGGAACATTTCCTTGAAATAAAAACTTTTTAGTCTCCAGATCCAAATATATTTGTTTGCCCATTTATTTATAAGCTTTTTGAAAGCACCCTGAATTTTATTCACCTTTGTGTCCTCACAGAGTCCCTGGGTGGTACAAATGCATAACGTGATCGGCTGTTAACCGAGCCGTTGGAGGTTCAAGTCCACCCAGAGGCACCTCAGAAGAAAGCCCTGGTGATCTACTTCTGAAAAATCAGCCACTGAAAACCCTGTGGAGCACATGGGGTCGCCATTAGTTGGAATCAACATGATGGCAACCTGTTTTGGTTTTTGTTTCCTGATAGCCTAATAAGCCCTGAATAAATGTTGATTGAACAAATCAGTCAATGCGTCTGGCCAGTTACTGAGTAGTCCCAGCCAGACGTTGGAAGATAACTGTTTAAGAAATAAAGACTTATCTGAAATAAAGATTTAGTCTCAGACTGAGTAGCCAGGGAAACAAAGCTGCTGGACCCACACAACGTATACCTGATCCAGACCTGTGTGCCCAAGGATCATCTCAGATCAAGACCGTAGAGCCAAGAGATGGTAGCTCAATTTGTAGACAAGGAAACAGAATCTTTACTAGAAAAACCACAGGCCATATAGGCTGGCCTTGAACCCCGTCTATTCCTTCAATGCCATATTTTCCCAGGACAACTACTTGACTGTATTATGTTGTGTTGTTGTTATGTTGGGTGCTGTTGAGTCGGTTCTGACTCATAGTGACTCCATGTGGCAAAGAACTGCCCCATAGGGTTTTCTTGGCTGTAATCTTTATAGAAGCAGATTGCCAGGTTTTTCTCCCATTCAGCTGCTGGGTGTGTTCGAACCACCAACTTTTCGGTTAGCAGCTGAGCAGTTAACCGTGGTGCCACCAGGGCTCCTTTTAACTGTAATATAAAAATAAAAAACCTGTTGCTGTCAAGTCAATTCCAACTCATAGTGACCCTATATAGCGTATGATTATTTTACACCCCCAAATTTGAAGAGAACATGTCCATGTATGTGTAAAAGAAGAAAAATAAAACTCAGTATCACTTTAAAAATGAGTCCTGGTTAAACAACATTCCTATGGTTAATACTGGAGTTAAAATGCAAACAGGAATGTATTATACAGTAAGATGCATGTCTCACTGTTTATTTCCAACTTAGTCACTTGTGATTTTACAGTTAAACTATACTGCTGTTTCAAATTTTGAGATTACAATTCTACTTAAGAGTTCCCATTTTAATACTCCGAAGATGTTAACTATGATCATTAAATGTTTTTACCTTACATAACCGAGTAAATAAGAGAGTGGATTCTAAAGTCAAACTAAAAAAAATCCAAACAAGTTGCTGTTGAGTCTACTCCAGCTTATGGCAACTGTGCTCTACAGGGTTTTCAACGGCTTTGATCTTTCAGAAATAGATCACAAGGCCTTTCTTCCAAGGTGCTTCTGAGTGGATTCAAATCACCATCCTTTCAGTTAGCAGCTGAGTTCTTAATCATTTGCTCCAGCCATTGATTCCGGAGCCAGACTGCTGGGGTCCAAATCCCAGCTGTCCAGTTATTAGTTATGTGATCCTGGGCAAGGGTCCTATCCCCTTCCTGCCTTGATTTTCTCATCTGTATAAGCATAATAATATCCTGTACTACTAGGTGGTTGTGGATATTATGAGTTAATATTTGCAAAGCTCTTACAACAGTATCTAGTACACTGTAAATGCTATATAAGATCAGTAAGAAAGTTAGAAGGGGGAAAAAAACTTCCATTTTTTTTCGTTAATGTGGAAAAAAAACCAGCCCTGTGCCCTCCTTGGTCTAAGCAGCTCCCACTGGAAATAGAAACCCACACTTCCAGCCCCAAAAGAGTTGTAGTGTGTTCATTTATTCAGTGATTTTGAGGGCTTGCTTTGTTCTGAAACTGAGTGCTCAAAGGACTTGGAGTCAGGTTAGAAATCCTAACTCTAACCCACTTTTCTACAGATGAGAAAACTGAGGTCCAAAGAAGTTGTGCCTCGCTCAAGGTCACATAGCTAAATAGCACCAGAGGTGGAGCTAGAATTTAGGTCTCCCCACAACTCAGTCAGGACTCCTATTAATGGGCAGTGTCTGCCACCCACCCTTTTGAGCGCCCATCTCAGCTTCTATTTGAAAGCCTTTACCTAGTTTTCCTGACCTTCCCTTTCTGCTCCCACAGCCACCTCTCTCCCGAACCCAGAGCCTAGGAGAGCCTTTCCCAGCAAGAAAGGGAAAAGTTACTTTCATCCCTGAGTTAACCCTTCCCATGCCAGAGAGGTTGAGGACGTTGAGGCTAGATGGCCTCGCTCGGAACAGAAAGCGTGGAGACCCCGCCCCCTGGTGCAGTAGCGGCAGCGGCTGCGAAGACTGATGGGGAGCCACCTTCAGAGGGCTGTGGGCGGGGCCGGGAATGCGACCGCCGCGGGACCGGAGAGTGATCGCCGTTGAGCCCACGCTCAGAGCAGACGGCTCGCAGAAGGCAGGAGGTGATGGTCCAAGACTTTGGGCGCTGACAGCGGGCCAGGGGGAGGGAAAAGCGGCCACGGAAGCGAGGCAGAGTAAGGGGAGGTGAAGGCTCCTGGAGGTGACAGCAGAGAGCACGCAAAGGCAAGGGGTTGCCGAGCGAGCCCGGCCGTTTCTGCGCGGACGCGGAGCGGGCGGGAGAGAGGAAGGGAGGGCAGCGCAAGGGCGCTGCGGGTGGGCCCCGCCGGGGCGGGGGGATGCCATGTCCCGCGAACGGCCCCCCCGCACTGACATCCCGCGCAACCTGAGCTTCATCGCCGCGCTGACGGAGCGCGCCTACTACCACAGCCAGAGGCCCAGCCTCGAGGAGGAGTCGGAAGAGGAGCCAGGCGAGGGAAGGACGCGGCACGGGGCTCGGTCCCGCGCTCACACTCCAAGTAGGGGCCGCCGGGCCCGCTCTGCGCCCGCCGTAGGAGGGGAAGCCCGGGCGCCCCGCAGCCGCAGCCCCGACACCCGCAAGAGAGTGCGCTTCGCCGACGCCCTGGGGCTAGAGCTGACCGCCGTGCGCCGCTTCCGCCCGGGAGAGCTGCCGCAGGTCCCCTGCCACGTGCAGGTCCAGCTGCACAGGGACGCTCTCCACCACTTTGCGCCGTGCCAGCCCCCCGCCCGCGCCCTCCAGGTAGGCGGCGGGGACACGCCCTCTCCCCGATATCTCTCCAACCCGGCCGCGGCGGGCGTGTGCGAGTGGATTTGTCGAAGAACACCCATGTCCATCCCCAACTCTGGGCGTGGCCTTGCTCATGTCTTTTGGATCCCCATCCGCCAGTGGCTCAAGGCCAATGCGCCAGTTAGGCCCCACTCTTAAACAGCTGGGACGCCGGGGTAGGCCTCTGATTGGCCCGCTGCCTCGATCTGACCCCGGCCCCTGTCTTTCGCCCTCTCTTCGCCCTGGGCTTCCCCACCTCCCCCTCTCCCCTAGGAGGCGCGCGCAGCCCTGGCACCGGCCAGCGAGCCCGGCTTCGCCGCCCGCTTACAGGCGCCGCGCATCTGCCTGGAACGCGCAGAGGCGGGCCCGCTGGGCGTGGCCGGGAGCGCGCGCGTGCTGGACCTGGCCTACGAGAAGCGCGTGAGCGTGCGCTGGAGCGCCGACGGCTGGCGTAGTCAACGCGAGGCGCCTGGCGCCTATGCCGGCCCCGCCCCGCCCCCGCCGCGCGCCGACCGCTTTGCTTTCCGTCTTCCCGCGCCACCCACTGGGGGCGCCCTGCTTTTCCCCTTGCGCTACCGTGTGACGGGTTATGAGTTCTGGGACAACAACGGCGGCCGTGACGGTGCTCTGCGTGGACCCGAGCATCCGGGCAGTGCCGGAGCCCCAGAGCCGCAGGGCTGGATTCACTTTATCTAGGAGGAGACGCCTGCGGCCGACGGCGGAGAAAACCAAACCCACTCGGGGGCGGGGGAATCCCGAAGACTTCGCGGAGTGGAATGGGAGAAACCAAGATTGGCGGGGATTAGACCAAAAGAGTCAGGTGGGGGAAGGGGAGGAGGGTGGGAGAAATCAAAGGGGGGTGGGGTGGGCGGAATCAGCGAAGTTTGTGGAGCCTGGGATGGAAAACGCTGGTTGGATGTGAATGGAAGGAACCCAAAACATAAGAGAAAGAAGACCGAAAAGTGTTGGAGGAATTAGAAAAAAGGGAGATGATGGTGCCATTCTCTTACGTGAGTGGGCACTGGGGAGTAAATCAGGAGAGACTTGTCAGGCCTGTGCAGTAGAAGGTTAAGGTACCTTGTCGGGATTAAGGAGGTATTATGTGTGAAGTAGGAGGGCAACCCAGTTGAAGTTACTTAGGTTTCTCGGTCATCCCCTCTTCTTACCCACCATTGCCACCTCAGGTTTCCCAGCCCTGCCCATCCTAGCTTTAACTCAGCCATAATTGCCTTGCTTAATCCCAGGAATCTGACCATTGCTCCCTGGTCCCTGGCATTATGACAGGATTCCCTTGTCACCCCTGACGGTCCCTGTCTTCCGTTTCCATGGACTGGCTGGAGAGTGGTGACAGGTAGCAGTCAGAGCTCCTTCCTTCAGATTCCATGCAACCCTGGGGATTAAAATGAAGCCCAAAGTAATTCTGGGCCTGTCCTTGTAGCCAAATAATGAGGTGCCTAAGAGGTTGGTACACTCGGGCTTCCAGAAAAATGACAGCCTTAAACATATCTGGGGTGCCTTCTAATGATCTCTAAGCACTTTATGGATTGCATTTGTCAAGAGAAAGTGAATTGAGAGAATCACTACTCTGATTTATTCTTTCTACCACAGAAGAAAAGGAAGTCACTGACTAGTTGTATAACTTTGGTCAAGTTACTTCCCCTCTCCAGGCCCCAGCTTCTTCCGTGGGAAATTAGATTGGGATTTCCTTCTGGCTTTGACATTTTATGATCTGTGAGTAGTAGAGCTTAGATTAGAAGTCTCAGTCTTCCAACTTAGTGCTACATTTCAGAACACACAGTCCTGAGTGTCTGGTTGGGGCTGAAGATGGTCCTCCAGTATTTGGCACAGATGTTCCAGAGCCCAGGAAGGAGCCATAACCAGTCTGCAGGCTCAGGGTATTTGAGGACCTCTTCCAAACCCCACTTCATCCTCTGCCCCTTGCTTTTTCCCTTACCTATCCAGACTCCCAGCCTGGATGCTCTGGGACAGCTTTGAGGCGCTGCTGCTGGAGAAAATGATGCTTGGGAGCCCCATAAATGAAAGGAAACAATGTTGGGGGTTCTATTGAAGATAAAGGATTACGGGTATAAGAAATGGAAAACATTTCAAATTAAGAATCAGCAATGTGAAGATTAAATGGTACCAGAAAGTGATGGTCTGCTCCATACCTGAGCAAATGGAACAGCTGGACTCCTACCCATTCATTCATGCCTTTTGATGCTCCTCCTGGTCAGCCCTTAATATAGGAGTCATTGTTTTTCCTTTTCTCTTACTCTTCCTACACTCTTTGCTTTTCTCTTTGCTTGTGCCTCTTCATTCTCATCACTTTCCATTTTTCTTTTAACATATAGGGCATTTGCCTTCATTTTATCTATTTCTGTTTGCCTTCTTTATCCTTGTTGATCTTTGCTATTTCTTGTCCCTCCAGAAGGGATGGAGAACCTTTTCGCCAAGACCATGGTTGATTCACCTTCCTCCCTTAGGCTCCTTGAAAGTCTTCTAGAAGGGAGAAGAGGGAAAAGCAGCAGCAATTCCTGATGCTACAGATGAACAAGGAGTTCCCAGGTAATCAACTCCCTGCATCCCCTTCTGTTACTGATTTCACAAATTAAAAATTCTGGATCACCCCTCTTAGCACTAAGAGAGAGAGAGAGAGAGAGAGAGAGAGAGAGTGTGTGTGTGTGTGTGTGTGTGTGTGTGTGTGTGTGTGTGTGTGTGTGTGTGTGTGTGTGTGTGTATGTACATGTGCCCACACGTGCATTCAGGATAGAGTATGGGACTTGTCATTACCATGTCCCTCCTGTCCAAAGCCTTAATCCTTTGAAGAAACATGGCTGAAAGAGGAAACATGGACCTTCCTCAAACAATTGCCTATTTAAACATCATCCTCATCACTTTGAGAAAAACATAGAATTTTATGCATCTTGCGGATCACCATCAGGTCAAAGTTCCAGCAAAGTGAAGAGAGAAACTGTACTGGAAGCCACCAAGTGATGCACTGTTAAGTCATCAGTGAGGAGCCCAAGGGAGGATAAGGGAAGAGGGAGACTGGGTAGAGGCTCAGTGTTCAGTAGTCTTTTGCCTTATGTGTATGCATTACTGATATGTTGTATTAATGGAAGTTCATATTTGCTTAACACTTATCTGTTAAAATCTAGTGGTGTTTTGCATGCATTATTTTATTTAATTTTCAAAACTATGAGTTGAGTAATACCATTATCTCTGTTTTAGGGATAAGGAGAGAGGCTCAGAGAAGCTCATTAATTTGCTCAAGATAACACAGCTAGTAAGTGGAAGTTAGGATTGTAAACATAGGAAATCTTGAATCTAGAGCCTATGTGTACAACCATGATATGCTCTATTTTTTTCCTTTGAAAACAAAATAAAATTTAAAACCTTGCCATATATCATCTTTTAATAGGATAGTTTTTGGTTGCGTTCTCCATTCCCATCCTTCCAGTTTCCCAGACTGGCTTTGGGAAGGCAAAGCACCAAGAACCCCAGGCTTCATCTACTCCCAGGAGCTTACTGTTTCCTCCTGCTCCAGGTCTGTCTGCGGCCCAGTTCTGTGCAGGGTTGGCAAGGGACCACCCCAACTTCCAGCTAGAGAACTTGGGAACCCCTTTGAACTCAAGCCTTTCCATATGTTGGGATCCTCTCCTGGCCCTAATCAATCCTCCACAACTGTTGGTGTGCCATTCCCCAGCCCCCTACTAATCTTGAATGAGCCAGTTCCCCAAAGTTTCTGTTAGAAGGGTGCCCAGCTCGGAAAACTTTAGATGGTCTGTTTGGGCCTGCTCTGGGAGCCCTGGTATTACTGAGTGAGTAAATGCAAACTACAGTTTGGGGCAGAGAACCAAGGATAATCCTATTCCCTGAGCTCTCTCTGTAAGAAGTACTAAGGTTCATCCACTCTCCTATTCTCAGCTTTATAGGACCAACACATGAGTCTTCTGGTTTTTCCCATATTGAGCTGCCCCAGGGCCTGGGAGCTAAGCTGATAATTTCCCTGTTGTCGTCCCAAGGCTCAGCCTGGGCTGAGCCGCCTTCTTGCACACACAAATGATGGGTGCCTCCTCTTTTGAACCTGGACTTACACAACTACCAATGCTGCCTAGCCTTGTAAAATATTTTTTTAGTGCCTTCTGTATGCCGGGCCCTTACGGGATGCTCTGGAGGGACTCTCTGCTCTGATGCCTTTGGTCTGCACTCCTCCCCCAGGTCATGAGCACTGAGGATCTCCCCAACCTTAGTCTGCCCTTACTTTGGGCTGAGCTGATACAGCAGTATCACAAACTCCACCATCTGCAGATAACCAAGATTAGGCAATATGCCCTTTCCTCCTTGGACTGCTCTTTCCAAAACTCCCATCCATATTTCATGCAGCCCCAGTAAGCAAAGCAGAGTACACCTAGTTGTTGGTTGCTGTTAGTCGATTCTGACTCGTAGCAACCCCAAGTGTGCAGAGTAGAACTGCTCCACAGGGTTTTTTTTTTCCCCTGGTTTTCTCTTTTTTTCTAAGTTTTATTTTGTTCAGAATATACACAGCAAAACATACACTAACAGTTTTTACGTGTACAGTTTAGTGACATTGATTATATTCTTTAAGTTGTACAACCTTTCTCACCCTCACTTTCTGAGTTGTTCCTCCCTCATTAAAATAAACTCACTGCCCCCTAAGGTTCCTATCTAATCTTTTGAGTTGACTCCATAGGGTTTTCAAGGCTGTGACCTTTTGGAAGTAGATGGCCAGGCCTTCTGAGGTGCTTTTCAGTAGGTTTGAACCGCCAGCCTTTCAGAGCGGCAACCACTGGTTTCTCCAAGCTGGTTCAGTCTAACCTGACTTGAGAGACAGTAGAAGTTTGGCAGGATCTTTAGGAATCCTGTTATGTGTGAGGCACTGTGCTGGGGACTTTCCTCTAATGGCTGCTGGTTGTATAAACAGGAGCACTTGGGGGTATAACATGTCAGCTGTGGACTGGGAAGTGCCAGAGGAGTAGCCGTTACTGTGGTCAGGAGTTTGGGATCCTTGAAGCAACACAGCAAGAACACTGTTGCTCTTTGCTCTCATCCAGACCTCTAATGTCTTCCTGCCCACCTACGTGTCCCATAGCCTTCCTCCTGTTCCTTTGTCTCTCTTCATGAATGTTGCCCATCGTTTCTCTTCACTAATAAACCCTAACAGCTTTCCAATCCAGCCCCCATATTCCCTTGGTTCTGGCTCATATATTTCTCTGGGGTTCTTCTGTATCCTTGCAGCTCCCAGGTTGTAGGATCTGAGACCTGATAAGGCTTGTCTTTACAGATCACTTGGTCCAGGGTCCTCCACAGGTGAGGACACAGGTCCAGAGATGGGAAAGGACTTCAGTAGGGTCAGAGAATTTGTCAGTGCAGCTCGAGATAAGGTTTAAATTCCAGCATCTGACCGCAACCCATTCCCACGCTAAGAAATAGGTCTCTACACAGATCTGCAACTTTTCAGGGCAAGGGATAACATAAATGTTTCATTTTCTGCTGGTAGTTTGCATTCCATCCCCCCATCCAGGCTTGAGGAGAAACAAAATGGACTGCTAGGATTTTGCTGTATGTCCTCAGCCTTGGCAGTTTTTTGGTGATGTTGTTAAAAAGACTGAATAATCCACCCACTGGCTAGCTAATCTGGGGAGGAAGAAAAGTTTGCTGTGTGAACCCCCGAA